AAATGAAACTTCACTAAGGTGGCGCTTAAGGTGCGCTTCACCCTATAGAATCACATCCCTTCTCCCGATAGAGAAGTTGAACCTATTTTTTAAGCCTAATGACTACTTGTCCCAGGACCAATTAATTTGGGATGGAACATTATTAAGGTGACAATTAGATTCTATTAAAGTGCGCTTCAACTGTATACAAATCTAACAAATAGAATTAGTCACTTTAAACTAGAGGGGATTCTTCCTGAAGCATTCATTATGTTCCTGTTTCTTGTCTGCATAAATTTGCCATGAACACTTGGAAATCCCTGAGTTTAATAATATGTTAGCGTGCCTACATGCCTAATTGATTTTAGGAATAAATGTATTTAAGAACCACATTTCATATATATACATATATATATATATATATATATATTTAATTTAATTGGCATTTTCTTTTACTTTTCCAATTAACATAAAAACTCTATTAGTGTCGATTCGTTTGTTGTTATTGTTGTGTTAAAATTTCAAATCTGTTTAGATATAGAATAACAGATAATGATAATGATTGAGATGTTTCTTTTCAATTTGTATTTCTGGCCGACATTATTTCCGCACTTAACAAGTATGTATTTTGTTATACTCGTAATACATTTTCTTTTGTTTATATGGTGTGATGAAATGACGTAAATTTGATATCAATATATGTACAACTTTTGTGATGCAGGATGATGCCATCAAAACTGTCTTGGTCAGGATACTAGACAATAGTGGGCGATTTTCTTACTAGGAATATTAGTTGTTTTTCTTGATTTGTTTGATTTGGAGATACGATTTTTTCACGATTTTGTGCTACATTATTCTCATGTACATACACGAAATGTTAAAATTGGTGGATTGTGTTAGTAAGTTTTGTTATATTCATGTTTGTGTTGTTTTCCTGTTGGTTCTTCTTGGTACATGGTGTTTATGATTTAAGCTACTTTGTTTTTGTTTGTATGAATACAGACAAAAAAAAAAAAAAAAAAAAA